AATATCATTGTGCAACAAAAACACACTTCAACAATAAAAAAGATAAAATTGGTACAACCTGAATTATCAAAATGCTTGTGTGGCTTGTAGATACTAATGGATATACTTTTACTACTAGGTACTCAGGCTGGGATTTCAAAACGTTGAATCTATCGGCAGCAGAAACATAATATCCTCCATAAAAATATTTATATAGAATTGGGCGGCTAAGCAAATGAGATATTCCACAAAAGGCACTTATACCAAACAACGGTAATTCTTAACATTGTTGAAGTTTTTATGTATCCATATTTATTTATAATTAAAATAACATCGGGCCAATAAATATAGTTCTGACAACTATTAAAGGTCCCGGTAACGGTCTAAAATAAATATTTATTGGACAATGTAAAAGAGAAAAGGAATTTTTCGTTTTACCTCGTCAAGTCGTCCTGTCTATTACACGTTCCAAGTGAGAAAGGGACATGAATGGCGGGGAGTTTACGAACGCTTGAATTTTGAGGCGAATGTTGGAAATATTAGGAACTACAGTTGGGTCCTTGAGGTAGATTAGATGCACTCGGCAAGCAGATAGTTTGAGTAACATTGATTTAAATATTTACTAGGAATTATAATAATCCATTTTTGAAACTAAAAAATAATTTGAAACTTTTGAAACGGTTACAGTATGAAGCCTTCCTGGTTCCGTCAGTGTGAAAAATACACACTAATTTACACCAACAGCCTGATACGATTAAATATTTGTTCTCATCGAACCAATTCTGCCAAGAGACGGATATGGTTGCAACGAATACACTTTTTAAATTACATCCAAGAAGACTTTATACATGGAAAGCACCCGATATTCCCCACGGAAAATCATAAGAAACCAAATTGATTTTATCAACATAAACAAAAGGTTTAGAAATTATATCACCTCAACAAAAACATATCCAGGCGCAGATGTCTTCTCAGATCATAGTCTATTGGTTGCAAATATTAAAATACAACTCAAAATAATTCATAAGAAAATGAGGCCAAAGTAAAAACAGAAATTAATAAGAATTTTGCGAAAATAGTTGAAGACACTACTAGAGACATAGAAGAACAGTGGACCGAAATGAAGACATCTATTACCACAATTTCGCATGAATATCTAAATCAAAAAGAGAAAAGAAGCAAGAATGGATGACAGATAAAATATTGCAGATGATGGAAGAGCGAAGAAAATTAAAAGGTAGAAATGACAACGAATACAAAAAGTTGCATAAGACTATACTACAGGAGATAAAAGGAGCAAAAGAAGCATGGCTGATAGAGAAATGTATGGAAGCTGAAACACTACAATGAAAACATGACGATTTCCATATGCACAAAAAAATTAACGAGGTACAGAATACCAGAAAACAACGCAATACAGGCATAGTTGTAGATACTGAAGGCCAAATTTTGACTACCACTGAAGATAAATTACAAAGATGACAAGAATACATGCAAGAATTATTCGAAGATGCAGCACGAAGTCCGACTGAAATAAACAATCCCTACGGCCCAGAAATAACAAACGAAGAAGTAACTATGGCCATTAAGCGGATTAAAGATGGGAAATCACCAGGACTTGATGAGATGCATGGTGAGATTTTAAAACTATTAGAGGCACACCAAATCACAGCTCTTACGAAGCTACTCAACAACATCTACGAGACTGGTTACTTACTAAAAGACTGGCTACTATAAATATTCATTCCACTTCCTAAAAAGTCAACGCTAGAAAATGTGAAGAACATAGATTAATTGGTTTGATGAGTCATGTACTTAAAGTACTCCTTACTATCATTCACTCGTGCATACACACCAAATTAGAAGAACACCTGAGTAAAGTTTAATTTGGATTCAGAGCAGAGCTCGGAACGAGGGAAGTACTTTTTAGTTTGCAAGTTCTAATACAGACAGCCAGGAATGTCAACTGCGATGTGTATGCATGTTTCATTGATTTCGAGAAGGCATTTGATAAAGTCCCACATGGAAAACTAATCGATATCCTAAAAACATCAGGACTCGATGGTAAGGATATGAGACTGATTCCAAACTTATATCTTCAACAAAAAGCAACAGTACGGTCAGAAAATGAACTGTCCGAGATCTTCACAGTCGAAAAAGGAGTTAGACAGGGTGGCATACTGTCACCGGCATTATTTAACATATACTCTGAAAACATCTTTAGAGAGTAGGTAAAGAAATAATAAATAAGACTCACTCACAATCAATTTATTTTAACTCAAGTGTTTTCTCTTTTAGTGTGTTTTAAATTGTCCTTAATTGTTTTAATTCTAATATTTTATTTACTCGACTTTGCAATAATCTACTATTTTACCAAAAGAACTTTATCAAAGAAATTTGATAATTACAAGTTGAAAAATAATTGCACGCCCACACAATTTGTACATCTAAACTTATTCATTGTCATAAAACTGTCACTTTATAAAACAATTACTCAATAATTAACACATATTTCATAAATATATCTCTCAAATAAGTATAAATAACTTTTAAATAATATAATGGTATATAACATCACTTTCATTTAACAAACAATCACACACATATCTCTGCTTCATTGGATCAAATCTATCTCCTCAAGAACTTCCCGTTTACTGTCAAACAACTACAATAGCAGAATTGAGTTCTCCATTCAACAATACATAGTAGTTTCAACCATGTTCTACCATCCATCAATTAATAGAGTACCGGCATGTAAGTAATGTTTATTTATTTGCTCATTTATTAATTTATTACAATCTAATAGACTATTTTATAACAATTTGTGGGTCTTACCTTGTCTGTCTAAACTTTTAAAACTTTTTACACCTTTTTATTCAATTTACTCATTTTGAAATAAAACCACAGACATGTAATATTGGCATAATTATTGTAATTTACAACATCTAATTTGTTTATCTTTATTAGACAACACCCTAATATGGGTTTTTATCATTTCAGCATTTATTTAACTTTGTATCGAGACCTGAAGATGCTTTGCATATTGTAGAAAGCGAAACTGGTAGGCTGATAGTTAAATTAAATTGATTGTAAGTAAGTCTTATTTATTATTTCTTTATCTATTTGAAATAGACTCACACAAGCAACACATTCATGATCTTTAGAGAGCTTGGACGAATCAGAAAATGAGATTGCTGTAAATGGCCAACTCATAAACAATATTAGATATGCAGACAAAACAGTGTTGCTGGCAAATAGTGCAAATGAGCTTCAAAGGATGCTCCAAAGGAAGAAGACAAAAATAATGATCATTAGTAAGAACACCGGCATAAACGCTAAAATTGCAATTAAAGATACACCGTTAGAAAGAGTAGAAAAAATATGCTATTTGGTCTGCAATATTAAGGATACTTGGGATCACAGCTACGAAATAAAAACTCGTATTAAAATAGCAAGAAGCTCTTTCAACAGTCTTAGAAAGATTTTCTCCAACTTATCTTTATGTATCAATATAATAAGAATTCCTAGTGTCCTGCTCTATGATGTAGAAAGCTTGGGCCTTACAGAAGATGCCATAAAACGATTGGAGGCATTTGAACACACAAGTAATATACGTATTCTCCAGAGGCTAAGAAAAGACAAAGAAATTATCAACACCATAAAAAACAGAAAATTGGCTTACTTCGGCCACATCATGCATAATGATAAATACCGACTTTTACAGTTGATTCTACAGGGTAAGATTAAGGGTAAGAGAGGTCCTTGACGTAGACGTATATCCTGCTGAGCCAATCTTAGGAAATGGACTGGTCTAACGTCAACTGATCTATTTCGAGCTGTTATAAATAAAATAAGATGGGTCAATGTAGTCGCCAACATCTCTAGAAGATAGGCACATTTAGAAGAAGATCGAACCAATGCTAACTATTAAAATAAAGTGTTGCTGGTCAGATGGGACCAGCGCGGCAGGGAACATGTAAAAATAAAGCGAAATAGCTGGGTGTTGACTACAGACTGAAGTTCAGACTCTGTTATTAATAAGGTTTTTTGTGGATAATGCAACTGAATAATACTATATTAGTATTGTTTTTTCTGCCTAAATCCACACAACTTGGAAATTGGAATTTAAGTTTATGGTTATTATAATACTAGTGTCGTCTTCAGATTAATTAGTATACAGGAATAAATGATGATTGCAACTTGGTGCACTTGCCATAGTTACTAATATTGTCTAACATTGCGCAATATTGCACAATATTGCGATGTTAGTCCGATACGCTCTTATTTGGGCATTGTCTTGAAAAAGACAATGCTTGTAGGTTTATTTACTCGTAGAAATAAAACACAGGTTTCTGAGTGAGAAAAAAACTCAGCTTCAGAGTCTTAGAAAAATTTGCAGAGACCTTCAAGTGAGGAGCTCTAGGGCTACCCGCTAAGGGTAAAACCGCACTGACTCGAGATCCGAAAATGTCCCATATTTAAAGATATTTTAACTTTTATATGAAACTTTTTCATTTCTCATCCAATAAAATTTAATTAAAAGTTCCAGAAGGAAGGGCGATGCACATCGAGGTGCGTGATTGGTGGCACCTGATGACACTAGTACGGGTAAAAGTTCAAAAGAGTGTCCACCATAGTAGTTAATGCTGTAATATATAATTTTCTGACCATATTATCTTTAATGTGTGTAGTTATACAATCTTATGATAAGTATGTAACTAAAATTTAAAACATCTTATCATGCGATTGATAATTATTATGGTTAAGTTAAATGACAATACGATGCAACTTTCATGTATCAACAAACTAGTACAGTATTAATTTTCACTGTAGTGTACAAAAAACATGTTAATTTTTTAAGTTTTTTATGATTTATTTTTATGATATACTGGCCTAGATACACAAGTCAAAACTGTTGTCAATGAATTGATTAAGGCGTAGTTGTCCTTGAGATAAAGACAATCTTATTAATGATTCGTTAGAGAGAAATTAAAATGAATACCAAAATGACCTCCTAATTTACTTGAACCGATTACACTAAACAAGACGCGACAATTGCGTACATAATAATCCTGTGGCGACTTTAAGTGTCGTGCACTGTTTGAAAACCGGTGTCGCACGTTTCTAGCAATTTTGTCAAAATGAAATATATTGGATTTCTTTTACTTGTTGCTTTGGTATTCGTATGTGAGTGTAGAAATGATAGTACAAAGGAAGAATGGAAACGTTTTAAGGTAACTATTTTAATTAGTGTATCAATTAAAACAAGTAGCAAATTCAGTCAAATTAAATAGTATACCATGCAGTCCATATGTATGGAATAAATTCATTTTTAGCATTATTATATATTATGTGAAAAAAAACCGTACCCTCTTTGAATTATAAGCACCCCCTCGGAAATTTTAAATAACAATGGGGTCGTATGGCACCTTGTTAGAAAAGGATTTTAAGTTTGGTGCAATCATAACTGAAATCCAATCCACAAATTGGGAAAAACTTGGTTTAAATAATTTTTAACTATAGCAAAATGCGGTGAAGCTCCGTCTTGTTGGTAGTAAATAGTTGGATGATTAACATCAGGAAAAAATCTTTGTAATGTAGGCACTAAAAAATTAATAAAAAAATCTGGATAAACCTCACCATCAACTGTGTCCTCAAAAAATAAGGAACAATAATTTTATTGTTAATGATATCAGCCCCAACGTTATCTTTTTGAGGATATTGCGTGTGAGTGTTACACACCCAGTGATGATTTTCTCTGCTCCAATATCTACAGTTCTGTTTGTTAACCGTTCCTTTTAAATGAAACGTCGCTTTATCAAAAAAAACTATTTTGTTTATGAACTACAAATCTGCGTTCATTATGTTCATCATCATTCCACAGAATTCTTCTCTTCTATCAGGATCATCTTCATCTATGTGTTAAATGAATCGACTGAACTTTGTAAGAGTGGTATTTTTCTTTATGCAAAACTCTGAAAATAGATGATTTACTTTCATCATTGACGGCGGCAAGTTCTCCAGTTGTCTTATGCGGATTGTCCTCAATCTCCAGAAGTACATCTAATTTTTTTTCATCAGTAAATTTAACATTTGTACCAAGTTTTTTAATATTTTTTACATGTTCAGCATAACGAAACTTATTTTCAATTTTGCTAACTGTAGACTGCCAAACTTGTTGACCAGGGTATTTATTATTATACATTTCACAAACCTTGATTTGAGTTCTTGTTTGATTACCACAACCAATTATAATTAAAATGTCTATTCTTTGATTCTTAGACAAATGAGACACAATTAAATATAAAATGCGCACAAATATTATACTCACGACTTTTGGTAACTTTAAATACCTAAATGACAGCAGCGTACTAGATTCATATCAATTGATTATTTGGATTTTTGACTAATATCTGATTATTTTTATAATTAGGGAAAAGTTTTTTCCCTAATGTTTAGCAGAATAAATACGAAAATACCTGATTATTTCTAAAGTAAATTTTAATAAACCAGGCAATATTGCTGATTTAGAAAGTTAGGACAACGGAAGAAATTAACAAAACAGCCCCCGAGGTCATACAACATGTACTCCAAAACGAGAATTCCAAATATCCTCGATTATTATCAAGAAGTGAATAATGGTGATCAAGTTGAACATTTAATTTAATTGTAAAAATCAATTTTCTCAGTTATGATTGCACAAACTCAAAACACTCTATATTGCTGCACATAGGAGTAAAATTTCTCTCTAATAAGGTACCACACGACCCACTTTGTTATTAAAAATTTTCGAGGAGATGCTTATAACTCAAAGGGGATGCTGAAGGGGGATAATATTTTTATACTGTAAACTGTCGATTTAAGAATTAAAATCGACCTGTTTCAGGTTTTTTTCACATAGTGCATAAAAACGCTAAAAATGAATTTATTCCATAATAATGGATCGCATATGTATGGATATGTATATATGTATGTGTTTTACCCTCCATAAGGAAAACAAATTCAATTTGGTAAATATGAAAATATTTTGAAAACTACTACTACTACTACTTCGTTTAAACATTATTGATAGCACACTTTTTATCACAGCTGATATTTCTTAACTATCTCATCAATCTTGACCCCTGAAGGAAGTGTAGTGGTCATTGTGATGTCGCATATTGTCCGTCTCGAAAGATCTCTGTCTCTGGTTGTTTCTTTTAACTCATAAATACGTATTTTGCATATTCCCGTAATTTGATCGATCCATCTTGTTGGTGATCTTCCTCGTGATCTTCGGCTTTCTACCTTTCTACCTTTCCTTTGATTATCTTTCCATCTTTTCTGTGTCTGCTTCCATAATGTCTAAAGTATTTTAATTGTTGGAGATAGACTTTGCTGGATAGACTTTTGCTGATTTTTAGCTCATTAAAAATTAAATTATATGTATTCAATGAAATTCGTAATATTCTTCTCCAACAGAACATTTCAGTGCTATCTATCTTTCTTCTTTCCGCTTGTCGTAGGGAAAAGATGTGGTAGTATTGGAAATATTAAGCGGTTAATCAAACTCATTTTTAAAGTTCTTGAAATTTGACAGTTCTTCCATATTTTGGCTATTTTGTCTACTGCGTCTTTTCCTACATCATTTCTACGATTTATTTTTTTCTATGAAGACCATTTCACAGAATGCCTTGAAAGAGGAACAACACCATCACAATGGCAAAATGCAGTGATCATTCTAATGTTTAAGAAAGGAGATGTAACAAATCTCGTAAACTATAGACCAATCAGCCTCATCTCACACATATACAAGCTTTTTACAAAAGTCATAACAAACAGACTTTCGAACAAAATGGACTTTTACCAATCATGCGAACAGGCAGGATTCAGGTCAGGCTTCGGCACAGACGACCATCTACAAGTTATTAAAAGCCTCATCGAAAAATGTATAGAGTACAATAAACCCCTCGTCCTAATATTTGTGGATTATGAGAAAGCATTCGACACAGTAAACCACCAGAAATGCTAGAAGCTTTAAAAGAGTGCCGAATAGATCACCGCTACACCACTGTCATCAAAAATATCTATGATAATGCCACGGCATGCGTCAGACTCCATGAAGATACACACAAGTTCAACATTCATCGTGGAGTTCGCCAGGGCGACACCATTTCACCAAAACTGTTTACAACATTATTGGAATACATGTGTAAGCGTGCAAACCTAGACGAAAAGGGCATAAACATAAATGGAGAGCAGCTTAGTCACCTCAGGTTCGCGGACGATATAGTCCTGATAACAGACCGCATAGATCATGCCATCGAAATGTGCGAAAGACTCTACCATGCCTCTACACAAGTGGGTTTAAAGATCAATAACTCAAAAACACAAGTGATGACAAACCTTGTTCTGAGTGAGAACATCAACATAGCTGGAACAAGTATAGAACAAACATCAGCATACAAATATCTGGGACACGAAATTCGCTTAAGTAGAGATAACCAGACCAATGAACTAATACGTAGAATAGGGTTGACATGGGCAGCTTATGGAAAGCTAAGAGATGTTTTCCAATCAGCTCTTCCCATCTGCTTGAAGAGAAAAGTCTTCGATCAATGTGTGCTGCCGGTTCTAACCTATGGTGCGGAGACGCTAACACTTACTAAGACGTCCGCAAACAAAATTCGAACAACACAGAGGGCAATGGAACGGTCCATGTTGGGATTAACCCTGAGAGACCGAATACCCAACACAGAATTGCGCCGTAGATCGGGAGTAACCGACGCAATCAAAAGAATATCAACCTTAAAATGGAACTGGGCAGGGCACGTCGCGAGAACGAAGGACGGCAGATGGACAAAACGCATTCTTGAGTGGAGACCCAGACAAGATGCCTTTAGGAATAGAGGACGACCACCAACAAGATGGACGGATGACCTGAAACGGACACATCAAAATTGGATGCAGGCGGCTCAGGACAGAAATTTGTGGGGTGAACTACGGGAGGCCTATGTTCAGCAGTGGACGAGTATGGGCTGAATGATGATGAAGACCATGTGTTTGCAATTAATGTTCCCAGATATAAATATGGGCTCACAACCTCAAACCGGTTAATCGTGGTTATGTGTGGATGATTGTAATGTAGTCTATTCACTATCATGGATCTTTGTCTTTGATATGAACTACAAAACAAATTTGACTTTAGCTTTCAACCAGTCGTACGAAATCAATTAACTCTTCTTGAGTATTTGCAAGAAGGGCTGCGTATTCTGCAAAACGTAGGTTGTTTATTTTTCTTTCATTTATTAGGCTTCATCCTACCTTCAAGCGCTCTTCTCATATTATGCTCCCCATGGAGCTGTGGAGACAGCAATTGTATAGACAGTATATATCCTGTTCTGACACCTTATTTTGCATAGAATTCGTTTGAGAGTATGTCATGGACTTAAACTTCCAGTAGTGTGTTCGTATAGTTCAGGTATAAACGAAATTAAGTCTTGCAGTACGCCTACTTCTTTTATTATCTAACATAAGTGTTGCCATTCGACCCTGTCGAATGCTTGGCGATAATCTATAAAACAAATATATAGTGGGATATTTTCTATTATTTGTTTTATGTTCACAAGATGTTTTTGAGTAGTACCTCTAGCTTTGGCAAATCCAGTTTTTTCTTGGGTATTTCTCTTTGTAGGAAAGTTTTCAGTTCATCCATTATGTGTAGCACTATTTTGCTGGTATGTGAGATAAGAGAGATGGTTATCTAGTTGTTGTATTTATGGAAGCTGTCTTTTTCTTAACGTAATGCTATAATCATAAACAAAAGTTTCAAAATTACATTTCGTGTTTCGGAACTATTACGGAAGTACTTAAAACAATAACAGGAAAACAACCCCAGAAAAAGACGATATTGCAAACAATTCCAAAAACAGTACATTCATTTTATTGTTAAAAAAAGATACCTACTTTGGACAAAGTATAAGCAGACATTAATACTAACGAACCTTTTTACAATATGGGGAAGGATGTAGTAACGGTATTCGACGTATGGTTGTTATCCATTCTTCTCTCTCGTGCGTGTAGTATGTTGCCTCGGAAAGAGCGTAACCGGGCGTCCACTTTATGCTATCTCACATCGTGGCGATATTCCTCGAGTCTTTTTGTTATGTGTCCAAAATACCTTAATATATTTTAGTTGATGATTGTGGTAAGCCTAGTGGTAACGGCGAGTTCTCTTAATATTGAGATATTTGTGCTGCTCGCTGTCCAGGAAATTCGCACTGTATTCTCTTAAGGCTTGTTCCTAGGACGTTGCATCATAAGGTATTTCATTTTTAAACTTGCTGATCTGCATTTATACTAACCACGTAGATTCTTCAAGCAAGACTTCTAACTTCGGCCAACAGATATTCTTCCTTTAATCTTTTCCTGTTTTAGGGATCTTAAAATTTTATATTTTAATCCCCTTATCACGTGGCCTAGGTATTTCAATTTTCTCGTTTGTGTAGTAGTGATCAGTTCTGTTTCTTTACTAACCCTCTCCAGTAGCTCTTTATGTGTAATTCTGTCAGTCCATAATATTTTTAATACTTTGCAATATCACCAGAGTTCGAAAGCCTTGATGCTTTTTAAATTGCATTTTTTAATGTCCAAGTATGCAAAACAGATATAATCGTAGGCTTCCACGGCCAGAGTCAGAATTATAGTTTATTCGTCTTCCGGGTTTGGACCGAGTCATTTGTGAGTGACCCAAAAGTGGGTTCATCTCGACGTTTCGCTACAATTGTATGTAGCTTCTTCAGGAGAACAAAGAAAAAGAAATCAAAAGACAGGAAGATGGGTAGTTAGCAACGGTAACTCAGTTACTCAACGCAACCAGAGGCGAATACTAACTACCAAGATGGGCATTTGGTCACAGTAACTCAACTACTTAACGCAGCCAGAGGTGAAAACCAAATGCCAGGACAGGGATTCACGTCCAACAGCTCAGAACACTAACGCGTCGAGAGGCGGGGAGTGAATCCGACGATTACTCCGCTACCGCTCTATTTATAGTCGCGGTGACCTGTCGTGTCGGGACGTATCGGCACACTCCGTGGCGCGAACGTCAAGAAGCGCGCGCTGGCCAATCATGTGGCTGCATCGTGGTAGCGGGACCGGACGGCGGCTCTAGACTGAGATTCCAGATGGGAGACAAGTAGTATCCTTCCTCTCGATTGATATTATGTGGATTTTTTCGGATCTCTAGAGATTCGCGGATTTTCCTGGAATAAAAGAAGGGGCTTTTAGAAATAATATGGGTTTTTTCGAACAATATGGAATGACCGGTTTCTTGGCAGTGTTCTGCAACTGCAGAATGGGAGAAAAGACCTGATCGAATGCATCTTTGATGCTCTTGAATCCGAGTTTTGACGGAACGACCAGTTTCGCCAATATACACATGTCCACATGAACAAGGAATAGAATAGACACCACAGGAAGATATACACATCTCATGAACAAGGAATAGAATAGACGAAGAATGTTGCGTTTCGATTTAATTTGAGTCTCTTACCACTCCCTGACACGTGTTTCTGGGTCTACCCGTCATCAGAAGGAGTTTGTAAGAAGACTCAAACCAAATCAAAACGCACCGATTACTCTGGCAATTACATGACAATAACTACCAGAGTATGCAACTAGAGACCTCTAGTGAGGCAAGATGAAGATACGTCGATAGCAATTAAAGTAAACTGTGTACCCAAGCTTAAACAAGCCATTCAGAGCGGTACTGAGAATAAAATATTCCACTATGTACCAACAATTTACCCATATAAATTACCGTCAATTTTTGTACTCATTGCGTCGAGTAGGGACGATAAATATACGAAGAATGTTGCGTTTCGATTTAATTTGAGTCTCTTACCACTCCCTGACACGTGTTTCTGGGTCTACCCGTCATCAGAAGGAGTTTGTAAGAAGACTCAAACCAAATCAAAACGCACCGATTACTCTGGCAATTACATGACAATAACTACCAGAGTATGCAACTAGAGACCTCTAGTGAGGCAAGATGAAGATACGTCGATAGCAATTAAAGTAAACTGTGTACCCAAGCTTAAACAAGCCATTCAGAATAGAATAGACACCACAGGAAGATAGGGGCGGTAATGGGTCCTTAGGAGAGGGTAGATATTGTGAGATTTTCTTGGGTGGTCGAAAAGTAGTCCTGATACCTTCTTTGCGAAGAATTTTGCCAATCCTATCAGTGACACTTCGAATATACGGAAGAAAAGCCACAGGAGTATTACCCGAAGATTCTGAATTTGTCGTCCTAGGGTGTAAAGGGGGATGTAGATGTCGGTGTGTAATATTTTGAATTGTGGACTTGGAGTAACCGTTGGCGACAAGGGTTTTTTGCAGATGGCCAAGTTCTTCTCTAAGGTTGTCAGGTTCAGAAATCGAAATGGCCCGATGGATGAGAGAGTTGATCACAGAATTCTTTTGGGCAGGATGGTGGTGTGATGAAGCATGTAGGTAACGATTCGTGTGAGTCTTTTTTCTATAAACAGAGTGACCCAATCGGCCATTGGGCTTGGAGGTGACTAACACATCGAGAAAGGGAAGGGACCGATTATTTTCTACTTCCATTGTGAATTTTATACTCGGATGTTGTGAGTTAAGATGATCTAGGAAGGGAGAAAGGGTATGTTGACCATGGGGCCAGATGATAAATGTATCATCAACGTAGCGGAACCAGACTTTTGGTTTTAAGGGGTAAGATTCTAGGGCTAAAGACTCAAAGGCTTCCATGAAAATGTCAGCAATGACAGGGGAAAGGGGAGAACCCATTGGTGTTCCAGATATTTGTTTGTAGAAATTGCCTCTAAAAGAAAAATATGTTGAAAGGAGGCATTTTTCCGCAAGATCTGCCAAAACCAAAGACTTGTTATCATTGGTCAAGTGATCTCGCAGAACAACTAGAGAGTCATGTATGGGGATATTGGTAAATAGGGATGATACATCGAAACTGACGAGAATGTCTTGGGGATCGACCGTGAGGGAGGAGATTAAGGTAATGAAATGTGTGGAATTTCGGACATAAGAAGAGGTACGACCAGTATAGTCTTAACTACTTACGGAGAATGGCAGAACAGAAAGGACTGGAGACGTTGGCTGAAAGAAGGAAGGCGGCGACAGCTATAAAAATCCTTATATAGATAGGTTTAGACTTTGGGTAGATTTTTGTTTTTACAAGTGACAGGGAATCGGCCTGACTCGTTCACCTTCTACCAGGAAGGCCAGGTAATTTGAATTCAAAGTTTTCTTCCTTTAGATTGGTTGTTTTACCGGACTAAAGAGACTAATCTTCCCCTTTTACGTTCAATATCCTTTCAGATATGTTCTATTCTGTTGACGTTTTTTCTATAAACCTATAATTGAACCCTGATTTTCTATTAAGCTATAATTTCTCAATCACTCATCTTTTTTCCAGACTTGTGACCAGCTGCATCGTGTATAGAGTTACTCAGTTCACATCACAGCCAATGCATGCAGTTTTTTATGTTCTATCTATATAATCTAACAAGTGACAAAAAAATTAAAGATGTGACAGTACTCAGTAAGTTCACCATAAGTTCACCAGTGACCACAGAATGATACGAGCGAAAGTCCAAATCAACATAAAAAGAGAAAGGAACATAATGATTAAAAATAAATCTTACGGTCAACCTTAGGACACCTGGACACCCCCATTAGATATGAACCAATATCAGGCACATATCAATAATAAGCTACTACTGCATGAAACCTCCGAGAACGATCTTAACGACTTGAATAATTACATCATAAATGCCTTACAAGAAAGTCACCGAGTGCACTGTCCTAAAATATCAGATAGCAAAATAAGTCCACATACCGAAACGCTGCTGGATCAGAGAAGACAAATGAGAAGCAATAAGAATGCAGACAGCCACACTCTAAAAGAAATGAATAAAACTGTTTCGAAGGTAATCAGAAGAATTTTAAAGACATTTAAAACCGGTACTAATAAACGCACTATAAAGGAAAATAACAGCCCAAAAGTTCTAAATAGAAAGCTAATAAATGGGAAATGCGAAATTCATAAATTAATTAGGTGGTTTTCCAGCTTAGCGAACTTTACTCTGGCTTTTTCGAACATTGTGTCAATCACCTTTACTTGTTAAATTTCTCTGAACAAGAAACTTTTAGCGACGTATAATACTTAGCGTAAGCTGCTGTTATAGGCAATATGGTGATATTGAATTATCTTATCTTTGTTTTAGTACGTAGTTTGCTTTTTTTACCTCAGAGTCCTCTTATTGCAGCATTAGCTATTCTAGCTTGTTGTAACGTTATATCTACGTATTTTTTGAACATTAATCCTTGGTCTATTATGACTCCCAGGTATTTAGCATCTCTTTTTCATTTGATGTGATTGTTTTGCACTGTCAGCTGGTCCTTTCGTTTTTGAATATCACCGCTTGTGTTTTTTCTGAGTTGATGGCAATTTTCCACTGGATACTCCATTCTTTAGTGCCACCTAGCATTGTTTGCAAGTTGTTGACCGTTATGCCAATATATATAGTAGAGGTGACAAGACCGCTTCTTGTGGCACTCCAGCCTCCAGAGTTCCGAGTTAGGACAGGACTTGTCCTATTCGAACTATAAAGCTTTGTTTGTCCTAACTAAGAAGAGATCAGTGTCGTCATTGCTCTTCTTTATCCATAGTCTCTCATTTTATATATCAGTCGTTTATGCCAGACTCTATCGAAGGATTTGCTTATATCAAGAAAAGTTATTATTAATTAGAAAGTTTTTATGTTTAAATAGTTATTATTAATTAACCACTTACATCTTTAATATGGTACACTAATCAATTTCTTAAAAAACAGATGTTCATTTATTGTTTTTTTTTTGGCGTAACATTAAGTATTTTAATATTTTCAAGATATTTTAGTATATGCAATAAAATGTAAATTATGTATTCTAGTATTAATTTATTTGAAAATTTTAGTTGCAGTTCAACAAAACATACACAACTAATAAAGAAGAACTAAAACGATATAAAGTATTTAAAGACAATCTTAAGAATATTCACAAACATAATAAACGATTTGAGAAAGGCAAGGAGACTTATTTGCAAGAAATGAATAGGTAATAATTGTTTTTTTTTTAATTTATAAATTACAACATTAAGCTTCATAAACTCATGGTAAAAAACTTACATTTATCTTCATACAGGTCACAAAATTAATTTTGAAACCTCCACCACTTCGAGAATTATTCGAGAAATTGAAAAAAAGACCAAATTGCCTCAATAAAAGAAATGACGGTATTTGGTTACCTTCGACATGGACACGTCCCATAAACAAAATATCGTCCGCTCCACTCTCCAATCAAAATTCAACTATCAGAATGTCCGCGTTAACCTTCCCGCCGATCCTTGCACCAATCCTCTCCCAAACCACGTCACCATCTACGGTATAAATGAACCGACGATATTTTTGCATATATATATATATATATATATATATATATATATATATATATATATATGAGAGAGAGAGAGAGAGAGAGAGAGGGGGGGGAGAGTGAAAGAAAGAGAGAGAGAGAACATATACAAAACGATGGTGTGCAAAGCCGGACGAAGCTGGAAGATGTAATTGGAAGAAAGAAGGATTGCTCGAATGAAATGTAGCTGGATAAGATATGTGTCACGACAGGACAACGAAAGATGGACGAGAAACACTTTACACTGAAGATCACGAGAACACAGAAAGACCCAGACCCCAAAAACGGTGGCTAGACCATATCAAAGTAAAGTGAAGAGAAGCTTGCATCAAATAGCACAAACCAGGAGAAGAGTGGGGAACTCATGGAGAGGTCTTTGTTGACGAGTAAATGCAAACGGGCTGAAGAAGAATTAAAAAAAAAGAATTCGAAAGGTTTATGGTGTATAATTGATTTGAAACATATTTTGGGTACATATCACAAATATTAAATTAAACACTTTATTCTCATTATTAACATTTTGATTCTAAGATGAAAAACCGTAATTTCTACATTTTGTATACAATTATTCAAATAATAATAATTATAATTAAAAATATTTTTAAGATTTGGAGATTTGACGGACAAAGAATTTGGTGATATTTATGGCCTAGCCGAAAATGATTTTGTTATAAAATATGACGATAATACAAAAGTGAAGGAAAAGAAAGGTGAAAACACATCCACTTCTAACAGTAAAGATGAATTTTTGGATTGGAGTAAAACTGGGGCTGTAACTCCAGCAAAAGATCAAGGCACATGTGGATCTTGTTGGATATTTAGTGCAGTAAGTAGCTTGTATAATACTTTTTCTACTCTCTTACTAGTAAATTGTATATTACCTACTATTTGGATGCTAAGTAAATGCATCATAACAGATACTGACACGTAATAACTAGCACGTAATAAAAAAAATTACGCTTTAGTTTTATAAAAATGTGTAATATCACATAAGCCTCGTAAGTCAGTTGGTCGAGTTACCATGGAAACGAATTAACAGACGTTATTTTGACAGATTAAAAATTATTAATCTGTCAGTGTAAATATAGTGGTAATTTAATTTTTATTTTTATAAACGAAAATAATCGTAGAAAAAGTATAGTACACAACTTGAGTTGTAAGCTTATTACATTGCTTGTAAAATTACTGCGCTCGCCGCTACGCGGCTCGCGCGCAACTTTTTTACTCGCATGCATGATATAAGGAAACATGGTATGCTCACGCGCATCTATTTTGAACAGCCATTCGCGTTTACGACCAAAATCCGCCATTTTGAAGGCGGCAATTCAAATATGTACAAAATTGATACGAAATATCGTAGTTAAATTAAATAAAATAAAATTAATATTATACATTAATCCAATTAATTCATATTTAAAATGATCTGAACAGACTCTTAACTCTAAAAATCGAAACAAAACAAAAACACTTTTAATTTTTAATTCCAATACATTGCAAAGTAAGGTTAAAAAATGCAAAATACTCAATGATGTATAATATATAGACTCGGTGAACGCTTTAAAAAGTGTCCAAAACATGAATACCTTTGTTATTGTTTATTGTTTTGATACGAAGATGCACGAAGTTCATGATTTCTTACGAAGCATCACGAAGTTGATCTTGTGTTTGAAAACATCATGGACGTATGAAAACATTTTCTCCATTTTGTGTGACAAGCAAATTTTATTTTAAATTGTTGAGAGTTATTTACTTACTATTTTAGTACAATGCCATACTATTTTATCAAAATAATTATTTCTCTTATAGACGGGAACAAAAAGAAATCATAAATATTTAATTTTAATTAAAAAAATAATTATTGTCATTAACATATAAATGAGCACGTCGCTGTTCTGATAAACATACCTTCAACCTTGAGCCGAGATCTTTCGGACACTCGATTCTATAGCGAGAATAGGGGACTGCGTAGTCTATATATTATACGTCATTGAAAATACTGGACGTAAACAAAGCAGACGTCACGCATGTAGAGGTGGTTGATCCAAGTATTTTTGTGGATCAGGTCAGGTATGCTCACTACGTGGACTCGTTTTTGCACATCACTGCGCCGACCAAAATCCACCATTTTTTCAACATGTCACATGCGTGAAGTTTGCTTTGTTTCCTTATATCATGGATCAGGTCAAACTGATACGCATAAACAAAAATACCTGATTGTGGTAAGCCCATGATTTTGTGGGAATAACTAGAAAATTATTTGTATTGCTGAGAAATTAATTAATTTGTTTCGAAATCTTAGTACATATACATAATATATATATATATATATTATATATATATATATATATATATATATATATATTTTATTTCTAGTTCAACTTTGTAAGATATTTTGTATTTTTTAGAAGCTCTTGATAAAAATTGTAATCACAATTGAAAGCTCGAGTAAAAAATAGTCAACAAATAGCCCGTTTTATTGACTCCAACCCATCAAAAACAGTTTTATACATATATATATATATATATATATTATATATATATATATATATATATATATATATTGTTGTATTTTTGAATGTCCACTAGCAATAAAAACCGATATACAAATTTTATTACTTAAATAAAAATTAAGATTATTGATATTTCATAAAGACACGGGCATATAAAGTTTCAAACATCCTGTATAAGACAAAATATGTATTTTAAGTTGTTCAAAGAATTGTTCATTAGGCCTCAGAGACAAGACTTTCAAATATTATCGATAAGAAATTTAAATAAGTCGGTTATTGTGAAATGGATTTACCCGTAATAAAAGTGTATATAGAAAGTGTTTAAACAATAGACCGGGATGTGCGGTGGTTTTTCCCCCCGAAAGATTATATCGGTAAAAGTTTATTAACAAAAGACATTGAATTGAGAAACAGGTATCGTTTGTAGCTATTAGTAAGAAATATTTGTAAAGCAGATAGATTTAGCTAGAATAATTAAAGAATGTTGTTTTCTGGAATTACCCGAATGACGTTTTATAGAGAGAGTTGGTTGGTAACAATATACGTGACAGAGGTAGAAGATTTTTATTGGTCAATTTTTGAATGCAAGGAGGGAGTGGTTTTAGCTATGAGATAGGAGAGAGGAAAGGAGTTAGTCAGTTTTCGTCGCCCAAGAAGGAAGGAGCTTTGTGGTTTGTGTTTGTTTGAAGTCCCGAAGACGTAATTTACCGGGTGTGTTTATTTGCGGTGTAAAAGCTGATGAGTGTGAGGAACGGGGTACAGAGAGATAGAAAAACCAAAAGGTTATAAGAATATTAATAGCAGACGAAGCCGGAAACATTTGAAGTTATAAACAGGCGCGGAGATTGGTTCAAAAGGAGGCTGCATAGAATTACACGAGTTGTTGGGTTGCAGATACAAGGACAGAGAGGAGAAAGGTGTACGTCTTCTGGACCAAAATAGGAGCAGAAGCAGAGAAAGGTTTTTTTTTTATGGCGTGGCCATAGAATTGCAACGGCAGATAACGAAAGGTCAGTCAATTTTCATTAGAGCAGGAGTGTGGTTTTCATTTATAAATTAAATAAATTGAATAAATTATAGAGACAGTTAATTTTGCGATCATTTAAAAAAGAAAAAATTATAAAGAGAGCTTAGTTATAACACATATTAAAAATCAATGTAAAATAACATTTGGGTCCATGATAGAAAACAACTTCTCATATATTTAAAGTATTGTATTGCAAATATTACCGGATTGATTGTTATATAAAATTTCAATAAAATAAAGGACATCTCACATATACTTCAGTTGAAATTCTGTGTATTTTATTCAGGTCATATTACCTATCCCAATTAGGAAGCCAATTGGAAAATATTTTGAATCCACGATCAAAGGTAAATAGTACAAGTTAAATATCCTGAGATTGTAATTAATTAATGCTGATTTATTGTGATTAATTGGAGATTAGATCATTTAATAAATATAGACAGGATCTTTTCTAAATAAGCAATAGAATACAATTTAAATAGCATAACAATATATATATATAGATATATATATATATATATATTATATATATATATATATATATATATATATATACTGGTAAGGTTGATTGGGTTAGCAGCTGAATAATGAAAGCCAAAGTGTGCTCTTTTTAACGATTTCGTTATATTTTGTTAAATTTCTTTAACATCTTCAGACGAATGCTACAATATGTTACAAAATGGTGAAATTGTGTATTTTACATAAGATGTAGTGAAATTAATAATTGGACAGCTGTGATCATTCTTCGTTATATATATATATATATATATATATATATATATATATATATATATATATATATATATATATAGTATTCTTTTTTGTTTAAATTTGCCATGAAACGATCTTTATACAATTTAATTTAGAATATAAATGCCTTATATCATATTACATTCAGCTAAGATAAATTTTAACTTCATCCAGATGCATACACTTACTATGAGTACAGTACCCGTACCATGGACGTATAAATAAAGATCTTTATTTATATGTCCATGATCCGTACCGTAACTGGTACGGGATCAGGTCACCATCCCTACACGCATGGGACATATTGAAAAGATGGTGGATTTTGGTCGGCGCAGAAATGTGCAAAAACGAGTCCACCTAGTGAGCATACCTTGTTTCCTTATATCATGCTCGCATGTAATAAGCTTCTTACAACTCTCGTTATGTAATATACTATTCTAAGCTATTATTAGAAATACCTGTAAATATCTGACTTTCCCGTATTTTGTTTTTTGAATGAAGACTAAAAATTAAATATTTTATTTATCTTGTTTGTGGAGTACTATATTTTTTTGACATAAATCACAATAATTCTTATGAGAGTTGAAATTTCCTTATCCACTCACAGTGAAAAAAAAAACAAATAAAAAATGCTTAAATAACACTATGCTTTGTGTTAATTGGCAGTAAATGAATTTTTATGAAAGTTGAAATTTCCTTATCCCACTCACAGTAACAATTTCAGACATGCCCTATACTTCTGGGTTCTCCATGTATGCTTTCAGGACTTCCAAGGTGGCGTTCGATAGTCAAATTGTAGTTTTAATATCGGAACTAAATAAGCTATAAAAACAGGAACTAATTGACCTAATAGTGAATTTTAAGTAACCACTGTCCGGTTTTAATCCCTAGTTATCAGATTACGTTCATAGAGTAACACTAGCAGTGCAAATGATCTTAAAGTATACAATGTTAAACATAACGTAGACACTATTGTGTGTGATCATTGTATAAAGGCAGACAAAGACTAATTAAAATTAAAAAATGAACTTGCCGCAGTAAGTAAACCTTCCAGTTTCTAAATGTAATGAAAATCATTTTATTTGGAAAAACGTACGAAAAAGCAACAGCCCACCTGTACTAACGTCATCCACCGAAAAAACTGTAAATAAAGCAGGCCCGAGCAACTTAGTCAGCCCTTCTACCAGTCAAGAACACATTAAATTGTCATTAAACAAAAACACAAGTCGATGTCAAATTTTGTATTAATTTTTTAAAGTTTATTACAGATAAGGAAAATACGTCAATTTATAAAAATATCCCTAGACCTTTGCGTTGTGTATATATATATATACAGGGTGGTGAATCGTCAAACGGGCCATAGGAAACTCAATGGGAAATTCTAAATTGTTGAATTCCTGCTTCCCTAATTATTTTACACCAAAAGTCATGGGAAACTATTTGTAGAGGACTCAAATATGTATCGAAAACAACTGTTAAAATTATTCTACGACTTAAACGTATTCCAAAATTTTGCTAAAATATAATACATTTTTCTGTGAAAAAATGTGTATTACGTGTTGCGTTTTGTCATATTATTGTTTCTGATATTTGACAATATTTAAATCAATTATATTACATTTATCTATGATTTAAATGGCCAAAATTTTGTGATTTATTGTTAAAAAAAATTAAGTTGATTAAAAAATGTACTCAGTTGAGAAGAAAAAAGCAATAATAAAAATGTTTTATTCATGTTTTATTATAACATTTGTTATAGTTTTATGTTTAGAAATTATCATATATTATTATTAGGAATAAAGATCACAGTAACAGTATATTGGAATTCATTGAATTGTTGTATAACTTAACATGGAATTAAATTTTAGTGAATTAGAATATCTTACGTTAAATAAAGATCCGGTAGTGGCAGGAAAAGGTTCGCGCTATTGCCTGAATACAACATTATGCGATTTTTCGTCAACTGAGTACATTTCATTATATTGATCGATTTGTAAACAATATAATTTATTGTTCACAAAGTAATAATGTTCATTAGTAGTAGTATTTAGTAAAATTCATTGTTTATAATTTAATCATAAAATAAAAAAATTGACAATTCAAATTGTCAAACATCTGACATAAATATGATAAAACACAAACGTCCTAATATATATTCTTGCATTACGTGTGGCCTAACTTTTAGGGGTGGCCTGAAAAATGTATTATATTTTTGCAAAATTTTGAAGTACATTTGAGTCGTAGAACGGTTTTAACATTTGTTTTTAATTCAGATTTTAGTCCTCTACAAATAGTTTTTTATGACTTTTGATCTAAAATAATTAGGGAAGCAGCAATTCAACAATTTAAAATTTCTCATTGAGTTTCCTATGGTCCGTTTGACGATTCAACACCCGGTATATATATATATATATATATATATATATATATATATATATATATATATTATACATATAATATAATATGTAATAATATTATTATTTATGTGATATGTTTTGTATTATTTATTAAATGTTTATAATTATTTTAGGCTTTTGTATTTCAAAATAATCACTGTTTGACCAAGAACTGTCCATTTTGAAATTCGTTAGTATCATGTCTAATTGGCAAATCCTTTACGTGTTTGGTTTATACGCTGGTATTTGTGAGTTCGAATCCCAATATGAATTGTCCTTTTTATTTTTGAAATATTTAAAAATCTCACGTGAATCTTATTAAATATATGTTATATACGCAAAAATGCTAAATTTTAAAATAAAATAAAAATTTACAACCTAATCCGAGTTGTTGGCTTTTTAATTTTATCTCGTAAAGTAAGTTGTGTATATTGGCAGTTTTAAATATTTATGAATATTATATTATATAAGTATGTGTAAAAAATTTTTTTTGCATTCAATACTTTTATACATATATGAAAATAAAAATATATGTTTTCATTTAAATATTGATAGGTACAATCCTTCATTTACTATACACCTATTACAAGTCAAATGTTTATATACAGCAAACGATGCACCATATACCTATATAACTAATTCTTTTTTTTTGCTCTCTCTTACCATAGCATTACATATGTAATGATTGTGCAGATTGACTCCCATATAAACTTGTAACGGCGAACGCGTGTATAGAAGTATAACTTCTACCGGCAGTACCACTGGACTGCCAAACCCGTTTTTTTATTTTCTCACTTATTAGACCTTCCTTCCTATTTCAATTTTTAAATAAATAGTTCAAAATCATAATTAAATCGATTCAGTCGTTCTCGATTTATTATAAAAATAGTTATAAAAACATAAAATATAAAATATATGCTATAATTATAGCTGGAAAACAGTAGTAGTTATTAAAAGAACATAAATATTTAACTTTCACGAAGAATATGTAGGATTACAAGAAGAAAAAGATTTGATATGTTTTTTTTTGTTTGTAGGTAGCTGCCTTGGAGAGTTACAATTTTAGAAAAACAGGCAAGTTAGTTGCTTTCAGCGAACAAAACGTTGTGGACTGTTTCTCGAACGATACTTGCAACGGAGGAGTACCAGAGTCTGCTGCTGCGTATATATACAATAATGGAATCCATCTGGAATCGGATTATCCTTACACCGCGGGACAAGACGCTTGCAAAGTTCTTATAAAACCGCCTAGCAGAATAGCTTTTAACGATACAGCTTATACGGAAGGTACTGATGAGGATCTTAAACAAGGGGTTAAAGAACATGGCCCCCTTTCAGTTTGTTTGTACGTGACAGCCAAATGGAGGTTTTATAGTAGCGGAGTTTGGTATCATAACAAATGTTCACCCTACTCAAATCACTGCGTGCTGTTGGTCGGATACGGTACAGAGAAAGGAAACGATTACTGGATATTTAAAAACTCGTGGGGTCCAAACTGGGGCCAAAATGGTTATATTAAAGTGGCCAGGAATAAACATGAGAACTACTGCGGAATAAGTCATGGAATGTTTATAACAGATCAAAAATCAGAAGACATTTCAGATTCTCTCAAAGAAAATTTATTATAAATATTAAGAACAGATGCACCTAATAATAAGTATTTAAAAATATTGCGTAATAAAATATATGAAGTAAATAAATCAATAAAATATTTAATTAAATCAGTGTTTATCTTCAGAGTCGCATGATCCATTAGAAAACTGTGATCCACACGTATGAATAAAAGGAGACATAATTTATTGAAAATGAGCATTGGATTTTTATTTAATTTTTTATATATATTTTTTTATATATATTTATATATTTTAAAAGCTTCCTCTCGTTTTATAACATCAAAATTATACTACAAAGAACAGAACGTATTAATAGTAGTTCCGAAAATGTTTTTTGGGGGATTTTTATATTAACTACTATTCATGTTTTGGTAATAAATAACAAATAAAATTAATTAGTGTCGCTTGTAAGCACGTAATACAATCGGTTCACCAGCACCCAGTGGCACTGACTAGTGCTAAAATAAAAGTTATTTTCCTTTCAAATAATAAAGCTGATATATATGCACTTTAAAGGCATGCACTCTGGCTGGAGAATAGTGCAATTGAAGAATCACACCATGCTTTAATTTGCCTTTATCCATATACGCGGTTGGTTCCATTAATTTTACCAAGTTTCTATCTTGAGTCATACATAGAGTAATGCTCTTTGCAGAGATATCTTACATAACCGCTTCCAGCCAAGTATTTTTAACTCTTTCTATTCTTCTTGTAACTTGCATTGTGATTGTTTGTACTGAGTAATTATTATTCTGGCATTAATCGTCCTCTAATCGCCTTAATCTGTGCTTTTTCACGTTAACATAAATTGTTTTCACATTTTCCTAATATACTCGTTTTTAATTTTGTCCCTTTCTGTCACCTTATGCATTTATTTTTGTTTATTTTTAGCTGCGCAACATTTAGATATTTCTCGTACACACCACATCACTCGCCTCCTTTCATTTTCTCGTGCCTTTGTTCTGTAATAGAGATCCTAGAACATTCTAGATACTGTGTTTTTGTCCTATTAAGCTTTCAACCTTTTTTCTAATTCCCTGTTAGTATTTCATTCATTTTAAATGTCACGTGGATAAGGAATACATCAAGGAAATTGTTAATGGTATATTCTATTAGCAACAGCTTATTGCTCTTGTGATTATGTAATTGTCCAGGAATTTAGTTATATAATTACATGTAGAAATGTAGACATGTAAAATAAAGAATAGATTTCAATAGGTTGGAATATTTAAAAACTATGAATCGTAAAATATCGTTTATGTTGTAAATGTTCACTTAATAAACAATTTAATTAAAATATAACTTTGTAATAAAAGTTCCCAAAAGATTTAAAAACAGCAAATTTCATATTTAATATTATCCCGAAAACGGGAAAGGAATTAGAGAAAGCCTAGCACGTACAGACTTATATACATGTTAAATATCTTAGACCAGGTCTATGAGATTCTTGTGAAGACAAGGCTGGGAGGAAGATACAAGGAGAAAGGGGAATATCAGACCGCCAGTAAGGTTTTAGGAAAGGAAAATCTGCGGTAGATGCCATAAGCAGGATCAATGTGGAGATATCCATGTGTAGGAGCAGATTGATAGTGGCTTTCTTACTTGATATAAGATATTCTTTTAATGGTGCTAACTGGAAAATTATTGTCAGACTACTGGGGGACTTGCGAATATTTCCCTATCTGCAGAAATTCGCCAGGGCTTACTTCACAGATAGATACATCAATAATTCGAGGGAAAACTCTATAAAAGCTCAGGACTCCATTCTGAGGCCATTACATTGGAATGTTCTGTTGAACTAAATTTTTAAGACCGACCTGGGCATTTATATACAAGCAATAGCATATGCGGATGACCTGGGGTGCTAGTAAAGCACAACGAAAACTCATGCATAGAGGAAAGCCTCTCAAAAAAGTAAATACGTGAAAGAAAAGTAGAGGCCTTATAATGGAGGCCAAAAAAACTAGAGCTATAACTCTCAGCTGCTTGATAACATCAAATGTAGAAAGATGGCCTATTTTGGACACGTAGTAAGGGGAGACCGATATAATATTCTTCAACTTATTATGATGGGTAAAATCGAAGGACGCAGAGGAATTGGTAGAAAGCAGGCCTCTTGGTTGAAGAATATCAGGGAGTGGACAGGAATAAAGAAAGCTGAGCAACTATTTAGAATAGCTCGAGACAGAGACAGTTTCGCCATGTTAATCGCCAACGTCAAGGGGACTTGATAGGGCACGTTAAGAAGAAGAATAACTCTCAAAGGTTCGAGGGCCAGAGACCGTATAGTTTTTGTAATGGAGGGAGAAAGGATATAACTAGCCAAAAGAGTAGAGTGCCAGGGAGTAGTCTTAGATACTAGGTGAGCTTTTTGTAAGCATATAGATACATCACTCGATGAGCTGAGAAGAGGACTGCGATGCTGACAAGAAGTATGCCTAACATGAGAGGACCAGGAACTGCAAAAAGTAGAATTTAATTGAAAGTATTTCACTCTATTGTACTTTACGTAGCTCCGATATGGCAACAAATGCATGCCATCAAAAAATATAGGAGTATGCTAGATAAAGCCTGAAGAAGAGCACTACTAAGGGTAGCAAATGCATACAGAACAACATCTTACCATACTGTGTGAGTTGAGGAATAAGAAGAGACACTAATTACACTTTCACTCAGTTCCTAATAGGACACGGTTCATTCAAAGACTGCCTGAAAAGGATAGGAAAGTTTGCAAATGAAAGCTGCACAGAATGTGTAGTGGCTAATATGGCCGAGCATTGTGTATAAGAGTGCAAAATGTTCGATGAAAATAGAAACGAGTTACACAGGATGGTAGGTAGGGTAAGTGCAAATACCATAATTCAGGTAACAATAAGGGGAAAGACTGTATATGAGGCAATACTGGAGGCAGTAGCTTGACATATCAGCAAAAAAGGAAAGCTTAGAAAGGGGTGTGTAATCAAGATAAGAAGCAGAAAGTGAAAGAGAGATACAGAGAGAAATAGGGAAGAAAAGACGGGCTATTCATGCGATCTGGAGAGCACCTACCACATGATACATACTAGGGCATCTTTAAAGGGACACGGTCTGTTACGGAATTTAGATAGAAAGTAAAAGGTCAAAACTCTAGTTTTCAATATAATGTTAGTTGGTGATGATACTATTGAATATTGCCACTGCAATTGATCTAGATATTATAATTGATTTAAAGTTGAATGATTGCGTTTAACATAATTAACAGTCGTGTTAAAAATATAACTGAAATAAATCAGCTGCATAAGACTCTGAAATAAAGCATAACGAAACAACTATAAGCTACTCCAGACAATAATTTTTATAGTACTTATACTTGCTGTGCATTACTTCATTCACCCCGTATAGAAATATACTCTTGGAGCATAATTTATTTTAGCAGTGTGCTCATGGAATGCAAGCTGGTGTCTAATTGCTATTAATCAATGGTTAAGCCTGTCTCATAGCACGACTGATCAAATTATAACTCTGAGACTGTAAAATGCTCTCGGCTACAATAACTACAACCTCCATAAATAGTGCGTTTACACTTCCATAATGTTTTATGCGCGTCTAAACCGATATAAAAGCATAAACTAACGGAAGTGACTATTGTTCCGACTATCGTATAAATCTCTAGTATGCGATTTTTTTAAAATTAAACATGATAACAATATTAAAATTTTTATCAAAATTTAAAAAATTAGAGTGTTATTAATATGAAACAAATTTATATTTTAATCATTGAATATCTTATTTAATGTTTTATATTCATCACGATAAAAAAGGTATTATTAAACAATAAAGAAAAAATATAAAAAAAATGTAGCCGTAATGGTAAATTGTTTTCGGGGGAGTGATCTGGAATTATATTTTTCTTGCTTTTCCTCTGCAAAGATGAGTGACGGTAGACATTATTTAAAACGATGCGATAACAGTCATCATCATCATTGGCTTTTACAACTCTTCGTGAGTTTTTGCCGCGTTTACTATTGCCTTCCATTGATTCCGATCCTGTGCTATTATTTCCCATGGCCTTACTTCCATCTTCTCCAGGTCTTCCCTGACAGCGTCTTTCCACCTTTTTCTAGGCCTTCATGTCGATCTTTTACCATCTGGTCTTTCCCAAAATACATTGCTAATCAGTCTGTCGTCATCACTCCGTACCACGATGCGATAACAGTGATAGCTCTTATACATTCACTGATATTTTTTCTTGAATATCAGCTCTTGAATATATTAGCCTTCGCCTTCCTTTAGACTCGTTATTGTGCCTTACAATGTTTGTATTTTGTTAAGATCTATAACCTATTTACATGCAGACCATCTCTTTATGAAGAAAGTTGATTGGATATGTTTTGATTTCGATAGCCTCTCTGAATGGCTGAGAATAGATTTGTGAACGCCGTTGGTACGAGGGAAGCTGTATTTAGCGCTCATGTATTATTTCATAAATGTAGAGATGTCAGCTGTGATGTTTTTGCATGCCTGATTGACTCCAAGAAGGTTTTCGATAGAGTGAGACATGAACAAATGATGGAAGTGCTGAAGAGGATAGGGATTGGCGGAAGATATCTAAAAATAATCACTTGTATTGGAATTAATCAGCGATGCTCCGAATAGATGGAGAATATACAGATCAGGTCAAAATCTTAAGGGAAGTGAGACAGGGGTGCATAGTTTTACCAATGATATTTAATCTGTACTTGGAGCACATTTTTTAAGACGCTCTAAAAGATATCGATAAGAGCATCTTAATAAATGCAGTCAAGCTCAATAACCTGCGGTATGCAGATGATACAATAGTGTTTTACAATACCATAGAAGGGCTGCAAAACTTAATAAACAAAATAAAGGAAACAAGTAGAACATATGGACTGGATATAAACACCAGCAAAACCAAGCTAATGATCATCAGCAAGGAAAACATAACTGGAGCAAATCTTATGTGAACCAAATGAGAATTAAACGTGTCTCACAGTACAACTACTTGAGAACTATAAGCATTGAGTCGTAGGACAATACTCAAGAGATTAAATATCGCATCGGAAAGGCAAAAAGTGCATTCTTGACTATGAGCTCTGTGTTAAAGAGCCATTACTTCACCCTAGAAACAAAATAAGGCTCCTTAATGTTACGTGTACTCAGTGCTTCTATACGGAGTAGAAACGTGGACCTTGAAG